CAGAGTCTACATTATAGCAGCTGCTTTTTGTCACGTGGTTAGTCTGTGTCTTTGAAGTCTGAAATCAGAAACCACATCACTGTTGGAAGGAATTGAGTGTCCTTCCATCAAAGACTTGAATTTCACCAATGCTTCCTTAGTCCATTTTCCTTCGAATCTCAGCCTCTACTAAACAATAAAACACCAGCTGTTCTTCTCATTTAACGTTTGTTATCAGAAATGACCCATAAACCATAAAGTCACACTTTTAAAAGATACGATTAGTAGCCAGGGCAATGGTGGCACACACTTCTCAATCCAGCACTCAGGGAACAGAGACAGGTGGATCTCTGAATTTGAGGCCAGCCTGGTCTACAGAGAGAGTTCCAGGACAGCCAAGCCTACACCTTATCTCAAAAAACAAAAAATAAAATAAAAAGTATGATTAGCTACTTCTAGCACATATTTGCTCAGCAGGGCAGCCATCAGCCCAGCCATATACTTTTGGAAATGTTTGTTGCTTGCCACAGAAGAGGGCTCACTCATTTCTATTCTTCTCTGACCCCTGGTAACTCCCAATCATATGACTATTTCAGGCACTTTGTATAAATAGACTCACACAGTGCCTCCTGTGTCTGACTCAGAAAAATGCTGTATATTGAATTTTGTTTTTTGGGTTTTTTTTTGTTTTTTTTTTGTTTTTGTTTTTGTTTTTGTTTTTTTGAGACAGGGTTTCTCTGTAGCTTTGGAGGCTGTCCTGGAACTAGCTCTTGTAGACCAGGCTGGCCTCGAACTCACAGAGATCCACCTGCCTCTGCTCCCGAGTGCTGGGATTAAAGGCATGCACCACCACTGCCCTGCTTTTGTACTTAATTCTTATGGTTGAGAGATAATGCACTGTATGAATATATCACATTATGTTTATATATTTGCTGATGGACATTTTGGATTGTTTCTGTGTTGCTCTATTATGTAACATAGGTATGAACATTCACATACAAGTTTTTTGTGTGAACAATCTTTCCACATCTCTGGTGGTGAATATCTGTGTTGTTAACTCTTTGGGAGATGTACAATCTCGGATTTCCGTCTGTGAGTGAGTGTGACTATTTGTCCACATCCTCAGCAGCACTTGGTGTTTGCTTCTGTTTTTCGTTACAGCTATCTTTGTGGAAATGAGGTGTTTCATTATGCTGTTTGATATATTCTGAGAGTTACTGATACCAAGTACCTCCAGGTACTTACTGCCCTTCTGTGGGCCTCCTTTTCATAAATGTCTATTCAAATACCTTAATTTTAGTACCAGGTGTTTGTTGTTATTATGTATTTATTATTGTGTCTTCATTATCATTTTATTGTTGACTTTTCAGGGTCTCTCTGCCATGGGTCTAGGAGTATTAGCTTAGTAGAGTAGATCTTGCTTCCATGCAGGAGGATGTGGCTCGGTCCTGCTGACAACAAAATGAAGGCATTTATTTTCACACTCTGTAGGCATTAGGACCTCATCCCAATCTGCCTTTTCAATTTCCCGATACTAACTTTTGAAGGACAAAAGTCTTAGTTTTGATGGAACCTGATTCATATAATTAAAAAAAAATTGTTGCTTGTATTTTTCTATCATACCCAAGAAATTATCGCCATGCCTTATCCTGCGATGGGAGGAAGGTGTCCAGCGGCATTTCCCCTCAGGGATTTTGAGTTCATAGTTGTATGTGATGAGGTGGTGTGCCAACCCCATGTGGAGATCCACTTGCTTAACTCTGCTGCAAGATTCTCTTTACCAGTGGGAATCTGAGTGCTTGTTAAAGAGCAGTTAGTCATAAATTGTCGTGATCCGGCATGTCTCAGCTCCAAGCCACGACAGACATGAGGTTCGGCCTGACTGGGGGTGTGTGGACCTGGAAGCTCCTAGCAACCCAGCGGCAATAAAGATCAAACACAGGCATCTTGTCATCTTTAGAGAGCTCTCAGTTCCATGTTGTAAAACTAGAGTCTCTTGTTTATTTGCCGTCTTTTCTGCTGTTTCGTAACTGTCCTGCCATGACCATGAGGGAACCATATCTGTCCTTGTTCTCCTCTCTCCTCCCTGGCTCGCTCGCCCCTCACTCCTGTCCTCCCTCGCACCACCGCCCAGGTGAGGGCCTGTTCAGATGCTTAGGCCCAATAGAGATGCAGGACTAGAAGGCATCCTATACTGAGGCCATGGTAAACAATAGTAGCCTTACTGGCACTAACAATACAATAGTGGGCCTGAGCTTTCCGGTGTTCCTGTTTAGTGAAACCCAAGGCTGGATCTCAAAATATTCCATAGCGGAACTATTTTGGTCCCCCACAATGAATGCGTGGTTTATTGCTGAATTCTCTATTCTACTCTACTGAATTTGTCTGGGTTTATTTATTTATTATTTATTTATTTTATTTTATTTTATTTTTTGAGGCAGGGTTTCTCAGTGTAGCCCTGGCTGTTCTTGAGATTGTTCTGTAGATCAGGCTGGTCTTGAACTCAGAGATCCATTTGCCTCTGCCTCCCAAGTTCTGGGATTAAAGGTGTGCACCACCACTACCTTTTGAAGAAAGTTTGAAATAAGAAAATAAATTTCCTCCGTCTTTGTGTTTTGCTTTGTTTTGTTTGTCTAATTCTGGGTTTCTTGAATTTCCCTATATAGTAATCTGCCTAAAAGGAAGTTGAAACCTGGTAAGGATTGCCTTGAATTTGTAGGTCTGTGTTGGGAACATTACCATCTTAATTATATTAAGGCTTCCAACCCATGTTCATTTTCCCTATTTAGGTATCTTCTGATTTTTTTTTCCAATAGTATTTCGTACTTTTCTTTGAGACAGGGTCTCACTGTGTGCCTTGGCTGGCCTGGGGCTTGCGATGTAGGTCAGGCTGGTCTCAGAGATCCACCTACCTCTGCCACTCCCGTACTCCATGGACTGGGATCAAGATTGTGACCACCCAAGCTGGCAGGCTCCTCTCTACTTTTCGGTGCAGCACCCTGAAGCACTTCTTGAGCCTGACACCTATTGCTTTTGATCTTGTGGTACTTCACTTCCATATCATTTTAAAATGATTCATTGCTAGTTTTTGGCGGTAAGTTTATTTGCCTATTATTTCTGGCAGGACATTAACGGCCTCCAATAGTTACCTGTGTGGTTTAAGAGTTGTATAGTTTCAGCCAGGCAGTGGCAGCACACACCTTTAATCCCAGCACTCAGGAGGTAGAGGCAGGCAGATCTCTGTGAGTTTGGAACCAGCCTGGTCTACAGAGCTAGTTCTAGGACAGCCTCCAAAGCTACACAGGGAAACCCTATTCTTCCCCTTTTCCTGGCCTGGTAGGACATACCTGGTTTTTCTTTTCTTTCTTTCTTTCTTTCTTTCTTTCTTTCTTTCTTTCGAACCAGCCTGGTCTACAGAGCTAGTTCTAGGACAGCCTCCAAAGCTACACAGGGAAACCCTATTCTTCCCCTTTTCCTGGCCTGGTAGGACATACCTGGTTTTTCTTTTCTTTCTTTCTTTCTTTCTTTCTTTCTTTCTTTCTTTCTTTCTTTTTTTTTTTTTGGGTTTTTTTTCTGAGACAGGGTTTCTCTGTGTAGCTTTGGAGCCTATCCTGGCACTCACTCTGGAGACCAGGCTGGCCTTTGATCCACCTGCCTCTGCCTCCCGAGTGCTGGGATTAAAGGCATGTGCCACCAATGCCCGGCCATTCCTGGTTTTTCTATAGAAGAAAACTGGTGGTCGTTGGGCACTAGGCATTTCACTCTTCCACTTAAACTATTTCTTTTACTTTTATCTTGCTAGGATTTTTTTTTTCCTCTCATACAAAATATACAAAAAACAGTATTTATTACTGTCTTCTGGGAGTGCTTGCCTTGGAACAAGGAGAAGTAGCAGTTAGTCTTGCTCTCTAGGACTGGTGACAATTCAACATACAGTGTCTCCGGTTCCTGGGATTCAGAATGACTGAGGCTTACTGGGTTCTAGGGATTGAACCTTCATTGACCTTGGGTCTCCTTCCTGATCTGAAGGTACACCACCAACCTGCCTCCCAGCCCTCCCCTTTATTTCTTCTTCTTCTTCTTCTTTTTTTCCAGACAGGGTTTCTTTGCGGCCTTGGAGGCTGTCATGGACCTCACTCTGTAGACCAGGCTGGTCTGGACCTCACAGATTTGCCTACCTCTGCCTCCCAAGTGCTGGGATTAACGGCGTGCACCACCACCACTCGGCTCCCTTTACTTCTTTAAATTTTGTGGCAGTCTCATTGGGTTGCCTGGCAGGCCTTGAACTTTGAAGTCCTCCTCCCTCACCCTCCAAGCAGCTCAATTATATGCCTGAACTATGGCCTTGTAAGAGTCCTTTAGAATGTCTAAGGTGAACACAGATCAGCTGAGGTGAACTGGTGTACTCTTGGAAACCTGGATGCTGGCTGGAAAGTTCCTCAGGAAAGCCAGCCTTCTGTGTGTTCCCTTTTTTTGTGTTTCCTCTAAGTAGCCTCAGAGGAAGTAAGAGGAAGTAGAAAAGACTAAAGGAAAACAACAAAACAAGGGGAAGCAAATCCCACCTATCCCATCCTGAACCCCTCCCTGGGTGGCTGGGTTCTTCAGGTTACTACAGTACATTAGCATGCTCAGAAGCTACCGGTTCCCTGAAGATGGGACGCTCCCGAGGCAAGAATGAGCTGGTGGAATGCTCAACCTGAGCTGCCAGGGAACATCTGCCCTTCAGGCGATGTTGGTTAGATCCATTTGGCCATGAGATAGACAGAAACCTGGCACTTGTCCAAGCCAAGGTGTCTGTCAGCTGGTGATGTTTTTGATTTACCGCCAACTGACTACTGGTTTCCTGTTGCCGGAACTGAACCTAATTACACCTAAGAAAGGCAGAGCAGGTTACTGGGGTATGACTCAAACCTCGTGACTTCTAAATTCTTTCTCTCTCTCAAAGGTGAAGGACCTGGGTAGGGTGGTGAAGCAGACAGGTCCTGGGAGACCATGTCCCAGTCAAAACACTGTGAGACATATTGCAGTCAGATCCATTTCATTTTATTATGAATAAACACAACCTCAGATGAGTAGAAATACTTCCAGAGTTGGTATTAATGAAAATTATTAGATTACAAATAACTACTGTTGCACATAATAAAGGAAAAATCCCACCCAAGGAAGGAAATGGAGCCCTGCATGTTTTCATAGCAGTGAATATACATTATCTGTCGCATCTGTTCAGTCTCTGAAAAGTCAATGTCATCTGGGGCATAGGCACGTGTCAAGTCCACGGTGGACAGTTACTATAAAAATGTGCAGGACTTAAATATTCCTCGGCTGAGGGTCCCCAAATGTTTTATAAAGAGCATTTGGTCATGCTCAAACCTACCCAATGAGGTAGGCCAGGATTACTATCCCAGTTTCACAGAAGTAATACTGAGTCACATTATTGTTAAGTGACATGTCCAGTGCTATGGTTTTGAGTTTGTCCCACAGTTCATGGGTTGGAAACTTAATTTCCAATGCAACAGTGTTGGCAGCTGGGACCATTAAGAGCTGATTAGGTCGGGAGGGCACTTCCCTCGTTAACATCCTTATCCAAGGAGTGAATTCTTTGTTGTCAAGAGTGGGACTGTTACAAAAACTGAGAGTGGTAGGAGGCCCTGGCCTGCCCCACCCGCATAACATGCCACTGCTTTCTTAACTTTCTACTAACCTATTTCAACTAAAGACGACGCTCAGGATACTAGCAAACCATGAAGAAAAGCTTTCTCTTTAAATGCTACAACCAGCGTTTAATCTTAAAACAAAGAGCAAAACCTACGAATCACAATACGTTCAAATTACTTCCACCATCCATCAGCTACGGGCACTTCATCAAAACAGCCCTAAGGAAAGTCCCCGAAATGAAGCCTCCAGAGGGAATACTGCAAATTGATGTACAGTGAATCCTCCAGCCAGGTCAGCTGACACCCGCCACATTTACAGGCTCTCCGGTTTTAAGGGACCCCATAGAGGAAGCAAGTGCAGGCTCACAAGCAACAGATTAGAGAAGAGGTAAGGCACCCAAGTCAGATTTGAGAGTGTCCACAAGGCAAGGACTGTTAGAAAGTCACTCAATCAGACCTTTGTTTCTTATTAATGTGTCACTTGATTTGAGTTTTAAAATCTTGAAAGTAGTATTGTATTCCTTAGTGAGCTGGTACACCACCCTTATTATCAGATACAAATATCATGGGGTCCTCAGCCACGGCATGGTTCAGATCCATGGGGCAGCTTAGAAGAGAAAGTCGCTTTTGTTATTCGCATATTATTAAGTGGGTACCTGCTAACCAGTGGAACTTAAATGACCCAAAAGGCATTTCCAAGGAATAGGGCCACATAGGGTTCTATTTTAATGAACAGCTAAAGGATAAGGCTGCTCTCATGTGGGCACATAGAGCTCCTGAAGGGTCTATTCAACTAACGCAGGAAGACTGTTCGGTCCAACCACTGGGGCTCAGTGGTATGTATAGCATTTGGTACAGCCAATCTTACAACAGCAAGGATAGATAGGCCAATTAGTTTGCTGAACAAAATCTCTTATCCAAAGCCCATGGCATCTCAGATCTCCTATCTTAGCCAAAGCTTTGCCACAGACTGTGGCTGCGGTCTACGGGATCCCACTGAGGCACTTAAGACCAGGACCTTGGTTCTTGTGTTTCCCATTTAGCCAGCATGTCTCATCCTTCTGCAAGCACCATAGCCTCACCCAGGATACAGATGAGCCCATGGAGCTTTGCTGAACATGAAGGAACACTGAGCATGTTGAGGCTAAAAAATAGGAACTGTGTCTTGTCCTGTCCCCGGGCACACTGGCACAACAGGAGCATTTGTTTTGGAGTGACTCATGAGACAAAGAGCCTCTCTGAGTTATGGATGTTTCTAGAAAGTTTGCCAAACCTTTTCTTTACTATTTCCAGACTGTCAGAAGCCTGGGGGACAGAGGTGGAGGATCTGAAGGCTACAGGAAAGGGACAGCCAGCTCGACTTACTACTGATGTAGCATTGTATCTCTGCACAAGGAAGCTGCTGGGACTGCACATTTAGTGCCTGTAAACACACAGGACATTTCTGCCTAGAGCAAAACTAAATGTCAAAGAGAAAAAAAAAAAAAAAAACACCAAAAAAACAAAAATAAACAACCATACCACAAAAATGTGTAGAAAAAAGAAGCAGCCATGGTAGAGCTAAGAGATTTCAGGGCATGCATCCTAGGCAGAGTCCTCCAGGTAGGCTGGATGGTCAAAGAGCCAATGAGCCATGAGTCAGTACTGTAGGGGAAGCCTTACGATAAAGAATGAAGAGCTAATATCTAACCTGTTTCACTAGAGCACCCCAAAACTCTGAAGTCCCCTGGCAGTATGTTCCCAGCAGCTTTTCCTTTGGAAAGCTATTAGGAGCTGCCTACAGTGTCTTCCAACTTTTCCACCTGCTGCCCAACAGTGGGAGGAACAGACCATGCGTTCAGCGTCTCTTTTCAGAGGGTAGCACTCAAGTGAGTATTTGCAGGATCCAGGACAGACTTTATGCCTCTTCAGTTTTAACTGGGGCTTAAGTTCAATTCTTCAAATACTTCCATTGTTGGCTGTATGGAAACACCACAGCCATCCTTAATTTACGGGGGCAACCAGATGGAAGAGCAGGAGTTAAGAGTTGGGTGTGCAATCCACAGAATGCTCAAAACTATGAGTGACTGTCCTCATCAATTGCAAACATGCCTCACCCAAAGACTTCTTGCAAGATGTCCTTGCAATCTACTTATTTATTTACTTGAGACAAAGTCTCACTGTCTAGCCCTGGCTGACCTGGAACTCAGAGATCCACCTGCCTCTGCCGCTCAAATGCTGTGATTTAAGCCGTGTGCCACCCACCACACCTGACCCTTCTTATTAAAGGAAATGAAATCTCTTTTCAGTAGAGACCACTTTCCCCACAGTTTTTTACTTTTTAAAAAAATCTTCAGCCTAAACTACACCGAGATACTGACATGTGTTACTGTACTCTAGTGTCACCAAGTTCTGTAGCTGTCACCTACTCAGAATTAGGAGAGGAGGCACGCTTTGTGGAAAGGCTCTGGTGCCTCTGCGAGACAAGAGCTGAGCCTGATCACAAGAGAGTCCCCTCTCCCACATCTCTGATGAATCACAGCCTGCATGTTGAATTTGGCCCCGCAAGATTTACTTTCCATTCCATCTGGCAAAACCTGGGCTAAAAATAACAGGAAAAATCTCTAAATGTTTTCTTGCATCTCTAACTCAGAATAGCTAAGAGTTGGGGGTAGGGCACAAACCTTTACTTTTAGACCCTTAGAAAGTTGGTATGCTGATCTATGGCGGAGCAGCTGCTGGCTTGGGAGGCAATGAGAGATGAGGTCAAGAGGGACAAAGCAAAGAAAAAGACAACAGGAAAAGAGAAGGTAAGATCAGCTTAGCATCGAAAGGGAAGAGCTGTTGACTTCCAATACATGTCCATTTAACAATACTGTACCAGAATGGGTTAACGTCATCATTTTAGCATCTGGGTAGCAATACTCAGTAGTTAATTAACAGAACATTAAGCCTCTGCCAAGCTGGCTTTTGGAACAGAAACTGGAAGACCCCAAACTCAGCCACTCTTGCAGCTCCCATCTCCAGTTCTTTTAATCCTGGCCAAGACAGCAGCCTTAGACACTCTCTTCCGGTCATAAGCCAGGCCCAGGGCAGCCATGCAGTCGATGAAGAACGTGGTGAAGTTGATGTGCCAGCGGTACTCACTGGCCGAGTAGTCATAGGGGAAGGCGTGGTGGTAGTTGTGGAAGCCCTCGCCTGGAAACAAGCAAGGAGAGCAGTTAGGGGGCTCCGTGATTGCTGCCGCCTCCGCCTCTTTGCACACCTCTTACCGAGTGGGTTCCTTAAACACTGGAGAATCAGACTGTAGGTGAGTGAATGAATAACTTAAGTATTTTTACTTTACAAACAGACACCCTCAAAGGCATCATAGTTCTATTGATATTATGGGATCTATATATCTTATGCAAATTACTCCATTTCTATGAGGATCTTAGCACTGTAGAGAATGGTTCATTCAAACATGAATTAAAGAACACAAGCAATGGCTGGCCCCTGAAAAGAGGGATACACATAAGTTATAAGAAGGAAAATATTTTATTTTTAATATTTGCATGTATATATACACATGCATACACGTGGAGGTCAGAGGACAATTTGCACTCCTTCCACGATGTGGGTCCCAGGGTTCAAACTCAGGCTGGTCAGGCAAGTGCCTTTACCTGCTGAACCATCATGCCAACCCAGAAAAGACACTTTTAATAATATCCAACACAGGCTGGAGAGATGGCTCAGCGGTTAAGAGAACTGGCTATTCTTCCAGAGGTCCTGAGTTCAATTCCCAGCAACCACATGGTGGTTCACAACCATCTCTAATGAGATCCAGTGCCCTTTTTTGGCCTGCAGGGAAACATGCAGACAGAACACTCCATACAAAATAAATTAATTAAAAAAATAATATTCAACACAGCCTAAGTTAATGAGTTTTATACAGAGATGAGCCACCAATCTGAACAGTGTCATTGGATGACCAACACCTCTTACCATTAAAGAAAAGAAGCCATGGCCCGGCATAGGGAAAATTAACTCAGGGCTTTTGTCAAACTCTCTTCTTAGAAAGGACAGGAAAGATGTGGGCACTGGTAGCAGAGGCCATGCTGGGACTGACAACTGAGACCAGGTTTACAGGTTGAATTGACTACAATTTAAGCTGTGGGGAGGGGAGCTCTAGCACAAAATAGGAGACAATAGAAAAACAAAGGACAAGAGAGAAGAGGATGGGAGGGAGGGAGAAGGCCCGTGAGCTAATGGCCACCACACAGGCATCACTAATGGATAAGCCACGTCCAAGTATACTATAGAGATAGAAGTGTTATCCATGTCACATACTTGAAATGTACTGCACTACACTGTAATCATTCTGCCTTTTATACAGCATGGCTAAATAAAAACATGAGACTTACATTCATGGAGATGACCCTACTTTTCTATTTATGGTCCCCTGCCCTGAACGAGACTGCAGACCCACCAAAAGTAACTAAGAAATGAGAAAAACTCAAAGGAGCCCATTATAGGCAGATTTTCACTCTTTTCGGAGATGTCATGGCCTCTCAAAAGGCTTCCTCAATAAAATTACCCCCAGTGTTATAGTGGAAAATATAAAAAACTCAGATCATTCTGACTTGTCTGACTCCTAGCCAAGCATCTCCAGCAGCAAGTCACCAGATATGGTCATGATGGGGACCTACTCACCTACAGCTCCCATTGAAACCAGGATATTCTCCCGAGAGCTAATGTTCTTGTCGTAGGGGCGATATCCATAGAGGTGGGCGGCGCTGTTCACCAGCCAGGTGGCATTGAGCACCACAGCATATCGCAAGAAGGTGCTAACACACAAGCTGTTCAGGAAAGTTTCACCCCAGCAATACCAGGGCACCAGCGTGGGCAGGATGAAACACATCAATAGGAGACCGGGCTTGTAGTACCTACGTGGAGAGATTGCACACTGAGTACCGAGAGGACTCTCTCACTCTCCTGTGGACTGTCCAGTCCTGGCAGGCAGGGCTTTTTGCCCCTCTACCATGAGAAAGGAGTAGCAGGAACCAGCCCCCAACCCCACAAAAAAAAAAAAAAAAAAAAAAAAAAAAAAACCAACGTGGTGCAAAATTTGAGAGCAAGTGCCGTTATCTCACCGTTTAGATGGGGCAATATGGATGCAATAAATGGCTCTAGTATCACAGTTGCTTCCCAGGCTGCTGTCCTGACTTTGTGTTTTGTTATCTGACCACTGGAGCCTGAGGTGCAGTAGGTGTGGCATGTGGCCTCTATTCCCTGCTACCAGCCAGCGTTCTTAGCTCTGCTGGCCCACCCCAAAACACTGAGTGTCCCAGATCAACTGTGGGCCTCTCCCTCATGCAGACCAGAAACTCCAAGGGAACTGACCCCTGTGTCCTTTAGTAACCGTGTCTTCCACTTTTATGTCCTGGAAAATTCCCCGCATCAAACTCCTTCCCATCAACTTTGACCTCTGCTTCCTTGGCTTCGGTCTCTCCTACCATCCAACTTTGTACCCCTCCCATGGGTGAGCAACAGCTCCTAGCGGACCCTTTAGTAATTCTGTTGCTAACTTAACTACTCATGTAGGGCCGCCTCTACAGGAAGGGCATCAGCAGTGTGTCTTAACTGCTCTTATCTCTCACACCGAGTATTTCAAGCAAAGGGCTTCATTCCTGTAACATTCTTAAGGCTTTAGCTCACTGCATTCTGCCTATAAAGTCCACCTCTGAAACACTTGTGATATCTCCATGCAACTATGGATTCAACACCACTTCTCCTAGGCCCTTCCCTGAGCAATCTCCCTGCTCTTTGTATCTATCTGTCCGGTATAAACCTACCCTGGCTTGCATGCTTATTATCAGGCTACTCAGCTTTTCTCTCTGTTCCCAACTAGACTACCTACTTCTTCAAGATAAGGTATCCGTTACACTCAGTTCTCTCTCTTTTTTTTTTTCTAGGCCAATAAACAGGGCTTTTGTTCTGTTTTGCATTTAATTGGCTCCAATCAGATAACACATACAAACAAAGAAAAATTAGTTTACCTCTGTGGCTCATAGGAAATTAAAAATAGGTTTAAAAATGATCTGGACATGTAGACCCAGTAAGTCACAGCTTTAATTTTACAATTCTTAAGAAAAAAGGGCAGAAAGTGTAAACCTCACATTCCCAGGGCCACCCCTCTTCACTCACCTCCTCTGGAACATGACCAGCTTCTCGGCTTTTAGGTCAGACATGTCCAGTTTTCCGCCCTTCTCTTTGACAGCTGGGTGTTTGCGCACAAGCAGCCAGCCCACGTGAGAGAAGAAAAAGCCACGGCGGGAATTGTGAGGGTCAGCGTGTGTTTCTGAGAACTTGTGGTGGGCGCGGTGATCTCGGGCCCATTCATACACGTCATTCTGGAGGGACAGGAAAGAGGACCCCAGTATTAAAAGAAGCTCTCCTGGGGGAATGCAAGGGTCTAGGTGTCTACCAGGGCCTGGAACTCTCAGTCCAACTTAAGAGTCCCAGGACTCTGGCTCAAGAATGCACAGGGTGAAGCTGAGAGGCTCTCCTGTTTCACACTTGCCTTGCCTTAGAAGTACATACAGAAAAGCAACTTAAAGACCCAGAGCATAGGAATAGCATGGTCACTTCCTGAGGCTGTACGGAAGGAGAGAGCAGGAAGTCACAGCAGGAAACACACATGTTTCATTAGCAAGTAAGATGGTGGGTTTTCTAAAAAGCTAATTTTGTGTGTGTGTGTTTTGTGTGTGTGTGTGTGTGTGTGTGTGGTGTGTGTGGTGTGTATGTGGTGTGTGTGTGAGTGTATGAGTGTGTGGTGTGTGTGTGTGTGTGTGTGTGGTGTGTGTGGTGTGTATGTGGTGTGTGTGTGAGTGTATGAGTGTGTGGTGTGTGTGTGTGTGTGTGCGTATAGGTGCCACAGCACCTGTGTGGTCAGAGGACAAGTTTCAGTTCTCTCTTCCACATAGCAGGCTCTCGGGATTCAAGCCCAGGTTCTCAGGCCTGACAGAAAGTACCTTTCTTTACCCACTGAGTCATCTTGCTTATCCCAGAGCAGCTTTTCAAACAGTGACTATGGGACTATGGGTGCATGTGGACTGTCTTATCTTCTGGCTTAGAGTATGAGGCAAGTGGCCTTGGGTCCTGGGGTGCAAATCAGCAGAAACTGGCCAGGAATGCATCCAAGGCCAGCATTAACGCATGAGCATGGCGCGTTTCCAAAGGAGTTCTGGACTTGTCTGGGTCCTGCCATATCTTCAGAAGTCTATCAGTGTCTCTTCCTTCCCTTTGTCACAAGAATCTTTTAAAGATAAAGTTGCTAGGCCAGAGACAATTAGGCATAACTGGTAAGCACCTCAAATCTTAACCAGAGGGGACTAATTGGGTTTCCTAGTTTCCTCTTGCTGTAAAATTAAACTCCCCACTGGCTATGCTGTGTCCTGAAAGCTTAGTACCCCCAAGAGTCCCCCCCCCAGTTCTCTAATTCTCCATCCTTGCTCTGCTAAAGCTTGTTGTTTGAACAATCTTCAAGATGTTTTACTGCCCACCATAGCCTCAGGCAGCACTGCAGTGTTGACAGAGCCCATCTCTGGGCATCCCCTCATCTGTCAAGAGGCAGTAACTACAGGATCTGCTACCTCCGAGGGCTGGGAAGACTTAGTCTAGTTACATGATTAGTATCTGTTGTAAAACAACAGAGTTCCAGGGTCTAGGACACATCCCCTTCTGCTCCACTGTGGTGTAGTCTCAGACAGTCACCTTAATGTGTGAGTGAACGGTTCACTTGTGATCTAGGAAATCAGGGTCAGTACTGGCTCTTGTGCCCCATCCTTAATACTGAAGACCCACAACAGCCATGCCATGTGACACGACAGGCCCTTGAGATGAAAAGTGACTAGAACTTGGGGACCCTTTATTTCCCTTCCCAGGGACTATGGTGTAGGGACCTCAGCACTGCGTCTGCAGTCTAGGTGACCATAGGCGACTAGAAAGGGCATCGGCTATCCTAAGATCCCTGACTGCCAGCCATGGGGTGGAGACAGCTAACAGCACCAGCTTCTCACCTGGAAAGCCATGGTGTTGGCAATGATGAGGAAGAGACGCAGGGGCAGCCGAGCCTTGTAAGTTCGGTGGCTCCACAGGCGGTGAGCCCCAGCTGTGATGCCCAAGGCACTGATGACATAGTACAAATATGCTGTGGGACAAGAAAACTGGGGTTATTACCAAGAAGCCAGTTCCGTAAGGGAAGTATGCCAAAGACAGTTTCCTAGTACCAGTCAGCCTCTCGTTTAGCCTTTGGGTAAAGGTCTGGTTTTCCCTGAAGCCCTGGGATGTCTTAGTCTGTGAAACCTTAGAGATGTTACCACTTTGTGCCACTGGTTGTCACAAGTCTATAAGAGCATCCAGGACCTATCTTCTTTGACCTCTAGCTGTCCTCTAAGATGTTCTGGTCAGGAAACTGCATTTCTCAGCCTAGAACCCACAGCCAAAGGCATTTTTGAAGCAGCAGCCAGAGCAGTCTGGACAATGGCTAGTTGGAGAAAACAAGTGGTAACACCGAATAGCGAACTATACACATGAGGCTTTTACCAGGGACACAAAACCATTTCAACACTGTAGCAGTATAAGGGATAGTCTGACTTGCAGAGTGGCTCAAACTCTACCAAGGATAGTAAGAGTCTCATATTGGCCACATACCTTGAACAAGGTGGGTGCTATTAGTACCGTACATTACTATTGAAGATATAGATCCTGGATGAAAAGGGTGTTTGTCTACTACTGTTTGAAGGCAGGTCTTCTGTCCCCATCCCTTCTTTCAGTTCTACTCTCCAGCCCCCAAGATCTGTGTGCCCAGTTCTCTTGTCTCTCCTTGGCCACTAACTGGGAAAGAGGAGAGCAGTTCACCCATATGCCCCCTCCATTAGCAGAACTAGGAAACAGGGGCTGGGGCCTTGGTGGAAAAGGCTAACACTGATTCCCTTCCAAGGAATGTCAAGAAACAAAGGACCTTCAGAGGCTACAGAACTTGGTTGCCATTGGAGACACCACACATTGTACAAACTGCTCTGTGCCTTTCGGCAGACAGATAATAAGTTTCCTAAGAACTCTCTCTTCTCCTTCGCCCCTTCCTGTCCCTCCTACACGATCCCAGGGGAGCAACAGACAGCATACTAAGAGAAATTCTGGCCGTGGGATGAAAGACCGTACCTATGTCTGTGATGGTACTAAGATAACCAGAGCCCTGTATCACAGGGGTGGGTGTGGGTGTGGGTGTGTGTGTTGGGCAAAGCAGAGGCCTTATCAGAGCACCAAGGGAACATCTGCACTTCTTTCATGCTGCCAATGACCCAGGCAAATTGGATCCAAAAGCCCAGACAATGTTTTTAGGGGGATGACAGTGGAGGGTGGACCTCAGGACACATGGAGCCCACACAAGAACCCAGGCAATCTTAAGCCTCTTCAGTTCACCTCTCAGTCTAGCACACAGGAGACTAAGACCCCCTTCCCTGTCTCCCAGAGAAAAGTGTCCCCAGTAGTGGGTATATAACATCTCATAGCTTTAAATTCAGAAACGGGTTGGGGGAACCTTGTCCATTAGGGCTCTCACAGTGTTGTCAAAGATGTCTATTCAGCTCTGGCAGGACACACAGCTAATCTAAAGAAGTTTCCCTTCCTACTCTTGACAAAGGTGTGTTGTCAAGATTATGAGTTGAATATTTGGAACCTGGAAAACTCTCGAGGACTATGTCTCAACACTTGTAAGACCTAGGAGGACCGAGGTAGAGGCAGTTAACACTTAAGACAACCAGCCCTTCTATACATACACTGTCCTCCAAGAGAGCTGCTGTTGGTACCTATACTCAGAATCTCTCCAGAAAACCTCCCACTGTGTTGAAGAACCCCTTGCTCATGGCTCCTCCCTTCCTGGTTCAGGGTTCAGAGGTGAAACCACCTGCAAAGAATGTGTGTATCCAGGGGGCAGCATGGCCACCAACCTGTACCTATGGACCCCTGTGGAGCTGAGTTAGTGGCACACTCACAATCACAACCATCTGAAGGTTGGAGCTGATCAAGCCTCTACTGCCTGCCTGCCAAAGAGGCGTGTGTTAGGTGTGGTGTTTGCTGGGGGAGGGTCCACAGCATGACGTGGGCACCGCTGATGAGCAGCAGCAGGCAGAATAGAAGGTGAAACACTAGTCTAAAAATGGTCTGTTCACTGGCTTCTGCCAAACCCTGGGGCCATACACCTGTGCAGCTGTTTAAACAGGATCCTGCTTTCCCTTCCTCCAGGTCAAACCAGCTTGCTCTGGCTGGCCAGGCAGAGAGGTCCAAACGGTTGTGTTTATAACCCCCTTGGTTCTCTCCTCCTAAATAGTATCCCCTGTCTCTGTCCCCCTCACCGGGCTCAACAGGTTGCCGCCCATGAGGCCCGGTGCTCTAATTCTTGGTTCCAAAGTCCTTTAGGCAGGGCCTGCTTCTTTTGTGGCAGCAGGGCTGGGACAGGTGCCATCAAGTGACTCATACAGAAAACCCTGTTCAGTGGCCTCAGCTTCAATGTTAAGAGACTCTTAAAATTCAAGTTCCCCCATGCTAATCCCACTAGGCTCTTTTCCCAGCCCATTTGCTCCATCGGGAACCAAAAAGAAAGGGCTGCTGCCTTGGGTCAGAAGTCACCCTTTTTAAGAGCAAGGAGAAACCCGAAGTGCTGGCCCAAGACGAGGGGAGCTGCTCACCAAAGAGGCAGGTGTAGAGCCTGCAGGACGGAACCAGTGTGATCCCATACAGGGCCCCCAAGTGCAGCAGGGCCATGAGGATGATGTTTCTCCAGACGTACTCCAGCTTGGGCGGGGGCCCCTCCTCATCCTGGTAGCTGGGGTCATATAAGTCATCTTTTAATTCAGGGCGAACATCTGCTCCCCAGTGGTGAGGATTCTTTTCTAACTTCTCTCCTCCATTCTGCTGTCCCCCAGAGGGAGGCGCTGTGATTGTGGTGGTGGTTGAGTAAGAGCCAGAGATCTGCCAGGAGAGGGAGTGGAGAATTAGGACTGCAGACGCGTGGGGGCAGCAAGGGGTACTTCCCTCTACTGTAACTGCGGGAAGGATGCAATACC